CTCTCTCTCTCTCTCTGTCACGGTAAATCGGGGACACCCGTATAATAACTATATTCGAAAAAGATTAAAACGAGTTTTTGCAACGAGGAAGAGCCGAATCTTTACTTTCTTACTTCATTTACAGAATATGGGTCTGCGGCAGGAGCTGGACCGATTAAAAAATGAGAACATGTTGCTACGCGACAAACTGAGCAAGTACACGGACGTCTAACACCCCGTCGTCGATCATGCACCAGCTCGAGCGACACGCAAAGAGAGAGAGAGAAGAGACGCGAACACGAGGGTGGACATCACATCCCTCGGCTACTACTTCCTCGCTTATAGTCGCAGCACATAGCAGCCTTCGCCTCCGTGGAAGAAGCGAAGGGGATGCGGAGCATGTTGACGAGTACCAACTCCCGAACCGACTGCCGCCGCCCTAAAGCCGACAACCAACCAACCTTCCTCAGAAATTTCCGAAAATCCTATTCTCTATCATTCTCTTTCTCTCCTTCTCTTACTCTCGGATAAAATTCTTATTGAATCCTCGCTCCTTGTCCTGCTCTAGAAAACTCCACTTGTAAATAGTTATATGTATAGTTAGATTATATACACACATACACACATACGCGCGTTATGTATATATATGAATATATATACATAGAAACCTTTACATATATATGTATATTCGTATATATAATTTTGAGAAGTAAAAGATAAAAGAATATATTATATATTATATATATAAATACACACACAAAATACATATTGATTATGCGTTTAAGGAAGGAGATGCGTTCGTTACACGTAATAAATCTGCGCATGCAACGCACGACGAGACACGTTGATTTTCCCAGCATTCGATGAGTCTTCTAGATTTACATAGCGAGTTATGTATAATACAATGGGATTGAATTGTTACCAGTATATGAAATCGTACTTCTTTGGCAAAGAAAAGACGAATCTCGTCGGCGCTGAGCACTGCCACACGTAAAGAGGTATATTGTTAGGTCGACATGGAGCGGAGGCGAGCGATGGTTGGGAGAACACGACGCTTTTCTGCGCACGGGTTAATTGATCCTGGTTCTCCGAGAATGCGTTAATTACTGTAGCGTATCCCACGTGGTGATGGTACACAAGTGATTCTAGTTGTTTTAATCGTAAGATAGATGATGTACGTGTTTCGTTTTCATCGTTTCTTTTCTCTCTCTTTCTATCTTCTATCTATCTCTATCTCTCTTTTAGCGAATAGCGAATCAATCCGGCCACGCGAGGAGTGCACTTGGAGTGCGCGGAAGGCGTCGCGACGCGTCTCTATCCCTTTTCTTCTTTCGTAATATCGCCCGCTGGCCCAACGTCGGCGGTTTGGGGCATGAACGATGGACGAGCCCATCCCGAGATATCATTTGTTGCGTAGCGAACAAACTTTTGTACAGGACATCCTCTTGTAAAATATATTTTAAGACGCATTGTGTCATTCTGACGAGCGACGGTTACGAACGCTGTGTCTTTGACGGAGTTTATCAACGCGGAACTTGAGACAAACGAAACGATTCGAAACGAACCGTGTCCGACGATCGGATCATGTAGCCTCCTAAGTACAGATGGGCGCGTGCATTGTCGGGGTTAATCGTAGACGTTGTCGTAAAAGTAAACAAATATTACATTGTACACGACACGAAGAGACGACCATCGTGCTTAAATGTAAGCTAGTTGCACAGGCTCGCGTGCACTGGCCCTATCCTCCCCTCTTCTTTTTAAGTTTTTAGATGTTTATTTTTCCATCATCGTGAAAATCGATGATGGCGATTGAGAGAGCGAAAGTGGAACCGATGAGGAGATATGCGCTTTTTATGAAATAGCTATAAAATTTATAGCTGCAGAAAGAGAATCTATATTGTACAGATCGACGCGAGATTGAACGACACCTGAATGAGAGCGATTCCTGCTCGTTGCAAAATTTAGTGACAATAATAGTGACCGATGTATCGTGCGTTTTCAGCAACGTAGGCGAGTAAATCAGAACGTCGAGCGAGATTTGTAACTCAATTGCCACGATTAATGATTTTAAAAATAATTAGAAACGCCAGAGAGGATGAAGCCCTTACTTTCGTTCGAGATTTATGTACCAACGATACGTAATAGTCCGGTTTTTCTTTCAACCGGACGAGAGAAACACTCGATGCGCAAACGCGAAACACCGACGTTCTGTACACACAACATTGTTTTATCGGTTGAGAGGATAACGGAATTCAACTTTGCGTTTAATCAACAGCAAATCCACGTTTTAAGTTCGCAGGACAACTTCGTCGACCGCGCGTAAAAATATAATTTTAGCCTCGCGATATTCTTCGAACCTTTCGAGCATGTTATATTACTTACTGTGTTAATTATTTTTCGTACACATTTTTTATATAATACGAATAAAATTAAATACGTAATTATAAATCTGTCGGATTTGTAGGATTTTTATTGCCGACAGATCGCTGTATGTTCATGCGCGAGGGCAGTGATCCGATTATTTGATGCCTTATAATTGTTTAAGTGATTTGCCAAATGTCGCGCGAAATCATTCGATTATAGTTCTTCACGATTGCCTTGCACATTCTAACAGAAAAATGTCACGTAAATTACGAAGAGTTCCGCACGATGAATCATTAAATCAGTATATTGCGTCGGTAGATTTAGCGAACGTCTTCGCACGATGGTATTCGCAATATAATTTTAGTAGTGGCACAAAATCTTATTTTTCGAAAATAAATCATATCGTACGTTATTTAATGAAATGGTTACTGTATGGCTTTTTATTCCAACGCAATAAACGCTGGAAGAAAGTAGCGTGGTAAGTTGCGTGCGAAAAAGCGTAAGTAGCGGAAAACAGAATTTCGCGTTTGATTGTATACGAAAAGTTTCTCACGTTATTCTTTAAAGCATATAACATAGACTGCAAGGAGTTTTTCAGTTATCTACAATATCTATTTGAAGTTTATCACGAGCCAATATCAGATCGTATGTGTTCTGCTTGTCACGCACACTCGTCGTCGTTAACAGCAATACAAAATTTTATAGATTTTAGACAAGAAAAACGATCTTTTATCAGACATACCGTTTATTCGCAACACAAATTTTAAATTAAAAAAATAACTTTGAGTCATCGAGAATTTTTTTAACTATCGAAAGACACTTGTATTTGTGATAAAAATTGAATTAATTAATCTTTTTCTCGATTATTTTTTCAGTGCTATTAATGATGCGGAGTGTGCGATATGTACGTGGATCTCGGCACAAGTTATTGGCCTATAAGAAGCGCGTTAGCATGATTGACACACATCGTAATTCGATAAATAAAAATAGTAATAAATAAAATAGTAGAGAGTTATAATAGCAGCGCGAGAGACAGACGCGGCCGCCGGCTTTGCTCCAAATAGAACGGTAAGAAAATGAGATAGAGGACACCGCCGCGTCTTAAATAATCGTCCGATCCACCTAAATAAAAAACATGAAAAATATGAGAAAAATTAGATATGACCACAAACACAAGAAAACCTCTATTGTATCACATTTCGAGAAATATATGTATTTGTTATTGTTTTAATTGAATCCTACGGTTGTACCACACCCAATTTTTCCATGCATATCTCCCACTTTTCTTGAATATATCTAATTATCTAATATATAACCAAGTATTATGCTCTAATATTTATATTTATTGGTTTTGCAGATTCAAGATCTAAATCAGTCAAAGTATCTTTGTAAATTATAATTTACAGAAATTACCTTTGTAATTTATTTTATAAATTATTATTTTATAATTTTATAATTACATTTATTATTTTATAAATTACAAGTTTTGTTTAAGAGACAGAATTAAAAATTGAAATTGAATTATAAATAGCTCAAACAAGACAGAATTAAACATTTTTGTCATGTCTGTTGTTTCAAAATACAAAAAACCTAACAAACAACAATGAAAGTCAGTGCAGCTAATAAGCACAAATTTTGTAGATAAAACTGATTATTCTGTAGATAGATCTTTGTTTTCTTTATTTAGATTGAATTCTCTTTGGAGTTCTCCTCAGCAAAACAGATAGGTACAAATAAATAAAAATATTTACAGCGCAAAAAATATTTATATTGCAATTCTTTTTATCCGCGTAATATGGTGATGAACAAAAATTCATTTTTTATTAAATTTCGACAGAGGTCTCCATAATCTATCAATCTATGTAGGCTTTTTCACGAATGGATCAAGAAAGGAATCAAACGCTAATATAATAATGAGAATGGCCTGTTGATCCACTAATGATAATGACCAGTTTACTTTTAGTTTCAAGCTCTATGACTTGACTCTACTTTTATGGCCGAAGCTGCAACTCTTCTCTGTGCTCTTCAGCTAATAATCACTTTAGAACTTAAGAAATTTTTTATCTTTTCAGACTATGAGAACATCTTAGAAGCTTTATTCAATAGAATAATATTTTTATTATACATAGAATATAGAATAGAACGTATAGAATAGAAGAATAATTTTAGGTGTCATTCTTACTTAATTCAAGAAATCTATGGATTACTAATCAAATGCAAAGATAGAAATAGAGTTTAGCTAGTTTGGATTCCATTTCATTGTGGTATTACTGGTAACGAGAAGACGGACACCCTAACTAAATAGTCAGTTCTCGAAGGCACTTTTTAAGAGCAAGCTCTCTCTTACTCCGATATCGTTAGTAAATTCATGGCCCAATGCTCGAAGAAGAATAACAATACTTTGTACACGATCAGAGCTATGGAAGGTAACAAGAACCTCTTTCTTTCAGTATTTTAAAAGTCCGTCATTAGAACCAGGGTTTTACAGCTTGGTTTAAATAGAAAAGCTATATTTCGATTAATCGGATACACAGTGGGCATTGTTCAGTCATGTTTTTTTAAATATAAGATGATTGGTAATGATATCTGTTCTTGCGATCGAGTTTCAGATGATTTGGAAATGTTTTTTTAGCACTATAATAAATATGATAAAGAACGCAAAAATATGGTTAGGAAATTTATCCAAAAAAAGAATTAAAACTCCTTCTTTGTGACATAAAAAGTGTTATTTAAAAATATGAAATCGAATCTGTTAGAAATCGTTACTGATTTTATTAATAGCACTAAAATTCAAATTTAATTATAAAACGAGCGATCCGGGTTCGACTCCCGGCCGAGGTAATATTTTTCGCAATAATAATTATTATTTTCGGATTTTAACGTTATTAAATATCGATATAAGATGCCAAAAGAGCTTCAAATAATTATTAAATTAATCAATTTAATTCATGATAGTACTGCGGTAGTTTATTAGAGTTGCGTTTCAAGACCGACAATTTCAACGCGCAGTTGAAGTTTAGAAGAACTACATGTATATCAGTTGCAGAATCATCCGAAATTCGCGCATTTGGAGTACAGGATATGATACTTTATGCTAAAACAAACAACTTTTTTCTTTAGCAAAATTGAGTCCGACAAATAGTTTTTGCAAGAGAGTTTGTTAAAGTTAACGAATAAGCACTTTGATCCATGTAGCGTTCAGGACCGGTGCGCGCGCCTCACTCACGTATACATACCTAGTTCGTGACTAGTATTCATAAGTAATGGTCCGTATTTAGA